ACCACAATGTACAGAACGATTCTACAGCTTTCGCTGATTACTGCGATGAGTACGTTCCGCCGCATTGTTTTGGAGACACATTTTTATTGCAAGAGAACGACAGACAAAAATCGTGATGATTTATTGGTTGTGTCTCCCGGGTAAACCAAGTGCTCTTCTTTCTGCTACTACTTGTGTTTTAGTGTAAATACCACGTCTTATTGTTTTTATAAAGGGTATGCTCCAGGCTTCTCTTCAACGTTAACCTGCGGCAGCATTTAACTCGTCCTTTGACGCACTGGCTGATTATTCTAGATGACGTCAGCGGAATAAGATGAACCTTGTTCACTCCCCACGAGTGTCGTGCAACCGCTTGCAATAAGAAGTCAAAGTGTCAGAGCTAAGCATTATCTGAAAGTTGAAGACGATTCTCTGAAGTGTTCTAGGAAATACTGGAAACCAATGAAGCCCACTGAATGCCTCGATGTCACAGAGCTGTTAAAATATCCCAAAGCCTAATAGGGCTTCTCAAAGAGGTGCGTCCTGCCACACGCACTAATCCAAATACTAAATTCGCAGCTGTAAACTATCACAAGTTTTTTTTTTTAACCGAAGTTGCTTATTGCTAAGGTTCTGTGTATTTTTCGTGTGCGTCAACAAAAACCAAAAGAGGGCTCCCAACGCCCTCTCTTTGTCGTCGTTCCAAGCCGCTTCCGTGCCTAGTTTCCTTTCCTTCCGCCGTGTGGCGATACCGTAGCGCGTGTCTAGTTTCCTCCGGCCTTTCAGGGCGGCAATAGTCCTCGACATGTGTGTGCGTACCTTTCGCCACAATGACCACCAATCAAGACAATAGATGTGTTTCTTACCTTTGTTCAAAATCCTGTGTATCGTCTGCGTCGTGTGCTAAACAGCTTCGCTGGTCATCCACCTCCACAGAAAAGAATGGCTCATATCTATTTTTTCCTAGGTTATGCTCGCAAGTTTTTTTTTTTTTTTTATTTGAATCGGTCTCGCGGGGCAAATCGAAATAGAAACACATTTTATTTGGCCTAGCTTTATATATCAGTTCGCGATATATTGCTGGATTACGCGGGACATGGCCGGCACGATGCACATTACAGAAATGACATCTCAAGATGAATGGAAAAAAAAAATAGAAAAGAAACAATATACATATTCAGATATTTCTCAAGCATTCAATATTCTCGAAGAACGCAGTCGACTTTCGACGTATTACTCATTATATCCATTCGTGTTGATCTCGTTTCTTTTTTAGGAAATCCATCCAGAAGTTGGGCGGAGAAAATATCCGCCACTCCATCGGGCCCGGACGTCCAAGCTGATTCCATTCGCATTTTTCTTTTAAGGGCGAGACGTTGCGCCTAGGAGGAAAACAAAAATGTAACCCTGTTTTAGTGTTTTATTTATTATTGTTTTTTTTTATTTTAGCCGTTTTTTTACTACAATAAATCCCCGATCATATACTTTGTTTCACATTAGTTACGACAGCAGCCAATGCTATGATCCGGTAGAGCCAACCATGCAATGCTAAAAGGGCATTCTCACAGCTTTAGTCTTTGTGTTTTTTCCGTCACCATGAAAACCCATTACATACAAAAAGAAAGCACAGGATCACGGCGTAATAACTGAAAGTGCTTGGTAGCTGCAGATGGTGAACGAAGAAAGAGCACCATAACGGTGAACTTTTTGCGCTTCTGGGCTGGCACCATCGAACCATATAGCGTTAGTTGCTGTCGGACTTACTAGGAAATGGAGTGTTATTGCATCACAATAAACAAAAAACACCAGTTAATTAACTTTTACATAAATTATGTCAGCTCATGCAATATAATCAGGTAGAGTGGTCAAACGTTCCATGAACGATTAGTTCTCTCTGATGCAAATCTATAGTCCTTTTTTTTTTGCCATTTGAACGACGGGAATCTTGTATTAATACACGATACCAATCGCTATCCTTATTAGAGGAAGTCGCAAAAGTAACACTGATCAACCACGTTCTGAGTGCATCGTGGTGCAGTACGTACACAAAAACTACCTAGACCGTGCGCATCCGGTAAAGTGAAAATTTACCAATAATACCATTGACAGATTTTTTGCGGACTCTAACCAAAGTTTTATTTAAAAAAAAAAAAACACATAAACCCGATGTGTTTTTTTTTTTTTTTTTTTAAATAAAACTTTGGTTAGAGTCCGCAAAAAAAATCTCAATTTCTCCCTAACCAGACAGACCTCTGTCGAAAAATGTTTACGTTTAAATAATACCATTACGTGTTCTAAGAAAAGACTGTATGCATATTTCCCCGCGATGCGCTTGACGAGTCATTGATTGTTTGTGTGTGTGAGTCTGTCTGTATTAACCTCTACTTGTTGGGAAGGCGAGCATTATTACACTCATTGCAACCCTCAGTAAAATTTTGAAAATATTGTTTTTAGAGCGCAGCTGTTAGGCGCCCGTTTCCGTTTTGAGCGGCGTCGGGATCGGCGTAACCGCGCGTTACATTATGGGACGTTTCACATATTAACGTCACACGTGACGTCACTTGTGACGTCACGAGGGTAAAACTGTCTCGCTAAATTTTGCCGGAAAATTTTTTGCTAATTTGACGGGAAATTTTATGCTTAATTAAGTGGGTAAATATTTCCCTCATGACATCGCACGTGACGTCACGTGAGACGTCATTATGGGAAACGTGACGTCAGTGAGACGTCATTACGGGAAACGTGACGTCACGTGACGTTACGTTGAATTTAGCGGAAAAATTTCTCAGATATTGTTTGCTAAATTTAGCAGGGAAGTAGACGTCACGTGACCTCAGCACCAACCCAGTTTCCCCGTTATATCTAGCGGGAAATTTTCCCTTCATTTCCGGGCTAAATTTAGCGGTAAATTCTTTCCGATAAATTTAGCGGGAAAATTGTGCTAAATGGCCTGCTGAATTTAGCGGGAAAATATTGGTAACTTTCTCGCTAAATTTAGCGGGAATATTTCCCCGCTAATTTTAGCGGAGAAATTTTTGCTTAATTTAGCGGGAAATTTAGCGAAAATTTCCCCCCGAAATGGTTAGGGAGCAGGAGAGGAGGAGGGGTGGGTACGGAGGGGGAGCAAGGACGTACCATCCCTCCGTACCCTCCCCCCCTTCTCCTCGTCATTTCAGAGAATTATAAACGTCTTTAATGTTCTCTGTCCTTTGACACTATATTTATTAGGTACTTTTAACATGGCGCTGCCGTACGGAGCGGCAGTGGTACCGTCATCTTCTGCTGTGGTACCAATACATGCTCCTTTGCGCGCGCCAGGCTCCGCACCGTGTCCCCCGTAATGCGCGGTAACGCTCGACTAAAACTGCCTATTGGCGCACAGTACCGGTCATCGCTTTCATCGACCCAGCTCATCGAGTAAAATAAATGATTTGTACTTTGATTGTCAGCCAGGAAGTTTTGGTGCCAAACGATTTTGGAGGGCGACTTGGTGAAGACATTTCGGTAAGTGTCGTTTTGCCATCGGGTATTTTGGTATGAGCCTGTTTCGTTACATAAGGATTATTCGGTTTATATTTCCCTTGACTTACATATCAAAGCACATCTTGTTTTGGGACTAAATACTTCCCGACACGTCTAATATTACATCATTTATAGGCGCTTGGTTTAATTATTAGAGGTTAAAGAATTTTCGCAGTTTTTTATATATTTTTTTATTTTTCTTATAAACACTTTAACCTTATATTATTTTTCACTTTCTTCGAAATACATTTCTTATTCAGTTGTCAAGGGTTACATTCCGTCACCTCATTTTAGTGCTGCTGTTACTTTAGTTTTAACAACTTGCAGAAACTGGACGGGACTGTGCAATTTATAAATTATTTTTCAGATTCAGTATAGCTAGTTTTATTGGCAAACGGGTTGTGCATCCCGGATTTTAGTCAAACCGATTGCAGTTCGTGTTCCTGTTGATCGCCTACTTGTTGGAAGTAGAACATTTGTGTCGGCTTCTTTCTATCCAGCAAGCGAAGGAGGATTTAGGCTTTCATTCCTCGAATTGAATATGACCAGCAGCGAGAAGCTGCGAAACGGTTTACTTACATACATTATTATACATAAAGATATTGACTACCAACCCTTGACTAAAATGTTTTCGCTTTTAACGCGACTTCTGCATCTATGCAACGTAGCTTCTTGAGTACAGTTTTTTTTACTTGTATATGGACTTTGTAGCTCAATAGAACAAGACAATATTTTAACGAGATAAGCCGTGTCTCTTTTAAGTTAATATAAAACACAATATTAAATGTTATATTAAATACAGAGAGCTCTAAGTTAACAAGTATATATGTGATAGGCGTTTTATGCGTTGCTTCAAATTATTCATTCTTGATATAATCAGAAGCATTTTAAATACATATCTTTAACTTGTCAATGTGAAGGAAGTAATTATTTATCTTGCCTCAGTCTCCCAAAAACAAATGATAGACAGGTATGAGTGCTCACATCTGAAGATCATACATGTATTTCGAAACGAACGACAAGGTTATTTATTATGCTTCTTTAAATAAGAAATTACAAATGGAATTTTAACACCTATGTATTTTATGGTAAGATCACAGAAAGCTTACCCAGGAGAAAAATCTTATATTTCGATGTAATTTTATGCTTGCAAAATCAGCCGTGAGCAGAATCTCCACGGTTTTGACTTGTCGGAAACAGTATCGTTTTTTGCAAATTTGTTTCAATATTATATAAAGCGAAAAATTAGAGGCACAACGCCTACTACGTATCCAAGCAATCATATACCGAAACGACCACGCCGAAATGTGTGAACCCAAAGACATCCGATACTGAAACTTCCCAGACAAGTCACGTGCAGTGTAGAAGCAGGCATTGCTGAGGGGGCGCTCTTACTGAACAAGCGGCATGTTGTTAACCTACCCAACAATACCTCTTGAGTATTACAACAGATAGACATTTAGGAGGAGCTGAATTATATATTTTCAGCCTAAACTTACCCTTTTGGATACGTGTAGGCAAAGCATTTGGCACTAATAATATTGAAGAAGAATTCACCGACAAATAGTGAAGACAGCAGGCGAAGATTTAGCAAACAGTTGTAGAACTTGCAGTCGTCTTGGCAGTTTGTCCTGCAATTTCCCAAGAAATGGTAAATACAGGAACGTAAACATGTATATTATTATCCGTCTGTATAGGAGCTGGGACTAGAGTTTTATTTCGTATATCCTAGCTGTAGGAGTTCAAATATTCAAGAGTAAACTCGCGAGCTTTTGTGATATTTTTCATTTACCAAAAAATGAAAACTAAGAAATAAAAAGAAATGTCTTGAAAAAGGGGGTATTCAATTTGTTTATCGCTGAATGATGGCTATAGCTTTAACATATGTAAGGTGGCATGCATCCCCAGGTGAGTTGAAGAATAGACCTGAAAATTTGGCGCTTTCACAGGGCGATCGCAACTTTGTATCGAAGATTATATTAGTGGCAGTGTTTAACTTATTAAATTTAAAGGCATAGCGCTCTCTTTCTGTGAACAATGTGACAAAGAAATCCACCAGAGTAAACAGCGGACACTGGTTAGTTTGTTTTTAATTCCGCTTCGCAAAGAAAAAGTGTGGTAAGCGATTCATGCTTTCTGCCAAACACGGCGCGCCATTGAAGAAACAAAAGGAACAAGGTTCGTTTTGATTTCAGCACTTTGAGAACGGAGAAGCGATTGTGCTTCGGAAGTTTATATCCTAATTAAATACTAATTAGGGCCACGCTGGAATGATCATTCAGTGTTTATAGTGACATTGTTGGACTTAATTTGGCGACTGCGAGTGAACAATGTTTTAAACAGCAAAGCAGCATTCCAATCGATCAAAACAGCATTCCAAGAAAGGGCTTCGGGCTAAATCCATTATGCGTGTTCGTACGTATGGCGTACGCTTTGCTACTTTTTGGGAGCGACATATTTGCGTGTGTGGGTCTGTGAAGTTTGCATGATGAGCTGTGAATTTATCAACATTGGGATAATGTATGGGATAAGCTGGTTAAAAAAAAGTTTGTTTCTAGTACATCGCGGGCATGCACCCGGATGTCATTTCTAAGGTTGCATAAGTATCTCGATGACCTGTTGAAAATCTGAAACTTTCTAGGTCTTTCAGTAGATTAAGGGATTATTTACGTATTCTGCTGGAAAGTATATCGTCAACGACAGCTTAAATAAAAATACAGAGCCCCTTATTATCTTCCCAATTTTATTCTTCGTCGTTCGTATCTCCTTACGCCGTGTTTTTATTAACTGCGAAGCCATAGTTCCTAGCCCTGGGGCTCGCCATTGCCTGGTTTCTTTAGGCTGCCAATGTATAGATGCTGAATCTTAAAGACAGAGGATAGAAATCGCTGCAGGCAGGAAAACGTACATCGTGTAGAGGTTCCGGTTTGTAATGCCATGTTTTGTCTGGAAAGCCGGTATGTTGTCGAGTGAGCGGTCGTGCTCGCGACAGCATTCATCCGTTCTTCGAAAGAACCCCAGGTCGTTGTTGTTCTTTGACGTGTTCCCAAACCCGCACCAATTTGTTCCTGCGTCGAATCCGGGTATTGAATTAAACAGAACACGTTGTTCTATTCACTGGAAGTAAAGCGTTTTATCTCTTTTTTTATAGTGGAAGCATTGGTTTTTAGCTATAACCTATCACTACCAAAAGGCTCTATACACGTACTCATACGTCCCTGGGCTTACCCTGTTATGTGAACTGTTCAGAACACCAACCACTAACCCTCTTCTAATCAGATCAAACAATGAGAAGTAAGATTGGCGTTGTGTTAGGAAATCGATGCGATCTCGGTGAAAAAAAGCGGTGGACACCTTTTCGCAATACTTCGGTTATATTTTGGTATTGGCGTAGATTTATTGCTCTATCAAGTGATTTGTAATTATGATTTTTTTACTAAGAGTAATTTGTCTAAGAGAGTTATAGTTGAAGCTTTTTAGCTTCAGTCGTAGTGAGAGATCTTAGTATTATAATATCACTTACATAATTGCTTTGTCACCATAAATCTTCTTTTCACAAAATCGCTGACACCCGAAATTACACTGAGTGTCTTTCTCATTATACTTCTGCCATCAACTGAGACTTTAAAAGCGTTGAGACTGCTGGAAGGTGCCGATTATGAATACGCAGTTTCAAGTGTACAAACCACGACCCACTCGTAAGGGCGCTGAAGGTTGTCCGAAGAGATAACCGTATACTGTAGACGACCTATTTTCCGCGGGCTCAATATTTCGCGATTTAGGTTAAAGCTGAAGTTTTGAAATCATTTTCGGGCTATAATTTTCACGACGCAGTGGGATCTCAATATAGACACGAATGTGTTTATATTTTACCGTAATTGTTCACGGGGCCTATTTTTCACGAACTGTAGGCGATCCGGGAAATTCGCGAAAATCAAGTCGTTTATACTATGTAAAGAGTTCGGTCATAATTTGGTAAGAATAGGGCGAAAATAAGTGCACGTCACTGGATGAAATTTTTTCATTAACCTTAAGCGCGTTGATTTAGTGCACTTGTGAACAAGCACGAGTCACGAATATTCCTTTAGCGAATGCTATGAGCTTAAAGGGGCAATGCAACAATTTTGTACTTGGCGCAAATACCCCTTAAAACGGATCCGAAACACGCGTTCGTTTTTCACCCCACGCAATAGAAGTAATAAAAAAAAAATTAAAGAAAAACGAGCAGCGTTCACCCCCTCAACTCGCAGCCAGAACAAGCGGCCACGTGATCTGGAGCCGATTATATGCCGCGAATGTTGATCATAGCCTTGCGCTGGGGTTGGCAAAGCACAGGACACGCGCTGAGTTCCAGACATTGTTATGGCTCGGCTCACTGTCGTCGTTGCAGCGATTAACATATGCCACTATCCGAATGCTTCTCGATCTAGTAATTATTACGAGTCCAAATCCAGTTCCCACGCAATGCTCGGGTCCAATCTATGAACCGCATTCAAATATCGCCACTTGGGAGTACTTCAATCCCCACGTTACGTCATCAAATTTTGCAAAGGGAGATTGAATGAAAATGATCGATTTTGTCCTTGAAATTACACCGCAACAAAGGCGTTTCTTGGCCAGTGGCGTTGCGTGCGGGTATCCTTGAGTCCCACTAGTGCCAGTAAGCTCGTGTAAAGTGAAAAACATTCCAGTTAAATGTCGTTGCACCGCTCCTTTTAACTTATATTCCCCAGACACAACTTGTGGGTATTCAAGAATTTCAGTTCTGCGTGCTATATTTCAAATTTGCGACTCTTCGTAACTTAAGGCCCAGCCCACGTGACGTTGTCGTCACGATGACATTCAGAATGTACTCAATCTTTCTCTTTAACGAGGGTCACGAGGTAGTGGACGGTAAAAACCGCGGACTCGGCTCCTTGTGGGTCTTGACCCTAACCCCGAACGCGAACCCTGTGTTCGCAGTTTCGCCTCGTGTTTCAGAAAACGTTTCTCTTCAATGTCGCCTTTTCTGGCTCAGTAAACGTACTCAGCAACTTGAAACTTTCTTTGTCCAGTGATCCCTTGTAATTATATCTTCATATACTTTCAGCCTCATCCAGTAGCAAAAGATACCTGCGCCACGGTACGCGTCTTTTTTTAAGTCATCTCAGCTATTTTTACTTCTCAGGATCACCACAAGAGGAGTATGCGACGCTGGCAGCACCGCCACTTTCGCCGCTCCACTTCTCCCGCCGCCTCCTCCGACTGACCAAACTCTCACTACATACGGACCTGCCCGTATAAAGAAAGAGTGAGTTACACTCCCAGAATAAAAGAAAAAATCAGGATGATGTGATTGTGATGTGTACATTTACTATTTTGTCACGACTCATGTCGACCTTTTTTTTATAATAATTAGAAGTTTGCCCACCATTAGATTTTTTTCAGAGCCTACTACATCTAATTGAACATTTTACTCTCAACGGCTTTAATAAAAAAATAGTAATCGCGATTTTAATAGCAGATATTTCAGCAACTGATACGTAACTTTCATTATCAGACAATTGATAAAGCAGGCAAAGCAAAAACGGCTCAAAATATTAAGGATGTAAAACGCAGTATAATCACTCAACTGTAAGACAACATATAAATAGACAAATGCATCTCAGTGCAGAAAAAAAAACAGTATTACATCACCATTACTAAAGCCTATTAGCTTGGAATGAAAAGTTATAGACCCTTTTGAAAATTCCGCGCCAAAGGCTGTCCGCCATTGCTTGTACACATGCATACTCTCAGCATGTACTGGACACGAGCGCTGACGTCACCGTTCGGCGAAGACTCGGATCCAATCACGCGCTTCTTGAGCAAGCAATCGTGATCGCCATTGTTGCTCGATGAACTTTTGAAAAGTGTCTAATAACCAAATAATTACATTCCTTTCTAAGACTAATATATAATTGTAATTATTTATCGTTTGTGCGCCAGGGATCTTAATCAATTAAATGCAGTTGGTGTAAGGTAGCCGTTAATATCCTTAGATTAATAATTTACTCAAAAATAATTTACGCGATTCGCACTGCTTTTTGCGCGGTACCTCTAGTCCTTGTTACTGACATAAGTGATTGAAACAACTGCAATGATCGACGTGCCTGCTGCATCGAGGGAAATCCAACATATCGCTCAGCTTTTTATAGCCGGGCCAGGACTCCCCCTGTTTTTTACAACAAAATTAAACACTACTCTTTAACAGGGTACAGGTAGATTTTACTGTTGGTTTTTCTCTCATACATTCGTACAACAGTCGCATTTCTGTGTACCGAGTGTTTTCTTACCGGGAAAGGTGTGTGAGTGCTGCTGGTTGCTGCTCTGAAATAAGATTTTACGGGACTCCCTCCCTATGGTCACAGTCCGTTGCTCGCACAAGTCGACATAAGCATTCATTTCTTTTTTTGTTACTCTTGTAACGTTTCGGTCGTGGGTGCTCTTGACCAGTTTTTCTACGACGGACCTGCAAACAAGATATTTTCTGGCGTATACTAAGAGCTCTGATCACAGAAAAGGCATAACTAAACATGGCATGAGAATAGGGAGATAACTCAGATGGCCATTTTTATAAGTTATACCCTCGAAGATGTTCTGCAAGTGTGATCCCAGCGAAGCACTCGGGAGCCGAATCGGCAGTATGTCGTTTATCGGCTTAGCCTTTAATTCTGCTCTGCTTAGAATTTTCACAATGGATTTTTAGCAGCATAAACCAAAGTATTCATAACGGTGTTCTTTTTTTACGGAAGCCAGCTAGATCATGTATCCCAAATGTATGGCACGTTTCGATATTCTGTTTTAAAACGTGAGGTGTCCTTTCTAAGTGTTTTATTAGACTCCTAATCTACATCAAATCTTTCACACACCCTAGAAATATCCCTTCTGATCACAGACCGGTCCGCGCTTCTCACGTGTTTTTTTTTTATCACTTACTGTTTAAATTTAGGGTTTACGCATAAAAAGCATCCGGAAAACCCTAGAAAATAAGAAACTCACCTTTCTGAAGAAATGTTGCAATCAATAATGCTGCCGTTTGAGTCTTGGAAAAGCTGCACGAAACTATAGCCCTCGTTAAAATAGTCAGTGAACATTCGTTGCGTTACGTTGGAGCTGAAAGAATTGAGAGCACTTCTTTTTATTTTTTATTTTAAAGGTTTCCTATACATAAGATATATGTAGCACAAAAACCTCCCCAAAACGTCAGCAGAATTATGTGCAAGATTTTAAATATCGTCAGATATGACAATTCCTGACGCAGGACGCACCAACTCGAACGATATTTTGGTATAAAATTAAGATGAAGCAGGAAGAGTTAACAACGAATCTCCACTAGCACTCCATTCCACTGGCTTGAAAAAACTTTTTCATTGTTTATTTCATTCTTCAGTACAAAATAAATGTGGAAACGAGGAAGGGCAATAAAAAATTACGTCGCATGAATAGTGGAGATAAAGCATGCATTTCGAACACAGCAATCAGGAAAAAACACCAAGCACAAAAGAAAAGATATATAGATTCAGGAGATGGCATGATTAAAAAAGGAGAGTCAGTTCAGAGCGCTTAATTGCAGTGGCTTTCTTTTCACATTGGTCAGAAATATAATGAAGTCGTGTTATGTAGGATTTTAGCTCTCCGGGCTTTGTGTTCGCATGGAGCAACGCTTTGCTTGAAAGAAAGCTGAGTCCGGAAATTACGTGTATATAGTCCAGATGCTACTAACAGCCGTCTCTATAAAATGTTAACACAATAGGAAGTTGAACCGAATCGTTTTCAAAGGCCCGAATCGCTGTCTGCGCACTTGAAAGCACTCCTCAAGGTGCTATACTTTGTATCACCTTAGGCTTTAGACTCAGCCGAACCTACGAGGCTGTGGTACCAATCAGAGGGCTAAAAGAGCGCACAATCTTGATATTTTTCATGTTTCTGCACCTGTTCTATTATCGCTGTATAGACTTGCGATTTTTGCTCTGCTTGATTGGCCCCATTAGCTCGCAGCGTCCGCGCTTGTGGACTTAAGCTCAAATGAAGTATAGTGCGAACTCACGATACCCATACTGTTTACAGAAACGAGACCTACTAACACTCCGCATTGTTAAGAACCACTTCCTTTATTAAAATATGAAGATATCGTTGACGATGACCATTTCAAAGAGTAAAACGTCAAAATCATTAGTTTTATGAAGTGGGG